GCTCGGCAGCCGAACTGTCACTGACGAAATGTAGCAACGGCGCCAAGCCCGCAAACGGTCAAGTAACTGCGCTCCTCTATCTGCTTCTGGGACAGCCAATCACAGATGCCGTAGATTGCTATTGGCCAAGTGTGGCCAGTGACTCACTCTCGCAGGACGTTTATGCATTCACGCCCATAGCACGCTAGCAGACAGAAGCGCGCGCAGGGCCCGTGCCTGCCGGGTGTCGCAGCTTCCGACCACTATTGAATTCCCACATAAAATAAGCAACTTCTACTGGTCTTACCCCTTCTCATTCTCTACGAAATTGGGCATGATAGTCGCAGTGCTCTGAGCACACCTAAGGCTCAGACTCCTACAGATCAACAAACTATCAATAGCAGTGAGTTGGCTTCCAGGGGTTACTTCACTGCATTAGATTCAGTATTTCAGTGAGTCGTATAACCGTTTTCTGAAACAGATGGGGAGCCCTCGCAAGGTGCACACTGGCTAAACTCATCGTCTACTAGGGCTAAAGACAGCCTCGTCGTTGTCTTTCACCTGAGAATGCGACGAAAATTGGGGCAGGATACTAACGGGGCATTCGGTAGTCAGTCGCGGCAATCTTCCTAAAGATGTAGACAGACAGACTGACTGAGTGGCATACACCCACGCACAGGCATCCTTCCAAGCTACGCATGAATTACACCCGGCTAGTTCTCACGGATTCCGGCCACTTGTCCATCTTCGCCAACGTTCTCGAAGAAGTTTTTGGACTGCTGACAACGATCCACACCTATTTATAGAAGGAACTCGTGGCCAGAACATTCGGTTAGGCCTCCATGACGGTCTCAGAGATGACCAGTGCACTAGGCAGTTACGGTCGAGCAATCACGCACACAACTAGGGCACGGAAAAAATCCCGTCTTGGTTTAAGTAGTCGAGCCAGAGACAGATAGAACTCCCCGGAGCAATAGACTATTTAAACCTTCATCTCAGTCTCAGTCATTTGGCGCTGGCCATTCTTCTGACGTCGCAGTGCTCCTAATGCTTGCACAGGGAGGGCCTCGACAGTTGGATCAGAATCTGTGATGGGGATAAGCGTTGACTGACATCTAAATCTATGGTGACAGCCTGATGTGACGGAAATTAGCAGGCGGTCTTTGTGATCGTGCCCCTCCAATCCGTCCAGCCTTTGCAACAAATAAGGGTCGGGTACGAAACATGTGCTTGTTCTAGATGGTTAAGTGTTTCATCTAGAATATGCGATCCCAGGAACGTGTGGTTCCACATTGTACATAGACATTCTTCGGGCCAACCACGCCAGAGTATATGTTAGGATCGCTCATTCATCATAAGTAAGTCGGTTCGCCTCATGGGAGACCCTCGATAAAGCCCCTTTGGGTAGTCACCAGCTACGACGGCCAAATAGCCAAATTAAGTGGCAGATCTAACAATCTCTGTAAAATATCCCAATATGCAGGCGCGACAATAGTGGTACAGGCGTTTTCATTAGCCCACATCCCGTAAGTGCTACCCCCGGCAGCCCAAGTGACATAACCGCGCAAACATTTGTTCCGCTCAGTCCTAGCGGGAGCTAAATCATAAGTGGGGGGGAGCTCAACGGAACATGCGCAACCCTACCCCCATCGGACAGCGTTGATGATTAACGCAACACCCGCTAACCCCGGATGTTCACCCAAATCAGGAAAAGTGCACTTCACACTGTAAAACGTAGATCTTCACCCCAAGAGTCAAAGGCAGGCTGCGAAAACTTGGTCGCCACTGCTAAAAACGAAACCGAAGAACTAACTGATCCATTTCGTTCGGGCAACTTTTTCTAGAAACACGCGCATCTTCGGTCGTTCCAGAAAGGACAACAGAAATAGATAAACACCGCACGTAGACATATGCGGTACTGAGAGTTAAAATAGAAGGAAGATAAGGAAGTGACGGTTGAAGCTTTAATTATTTCGGCCTTCGTATTCAATCAGTAACAAAACTGGCCTCAAAGTTAGGTGAATGGTCGCACAAGCCAGACAGTGGTTGAAAAGAGATGTAACGACAGCATGATATGCGCGTGTGCATATCTGTGTACACGACTGTGCGCACAGACACACTATGACGAGCACGCATGCAACTGAGTAGTAGGTAAATGTTGGGGGTTAGGAAAGTACCGGGTAACCGAGAGCGAATCTTTCCGCGAAAGATTAACACGTAAACAATGAGAATGAGGTGGGGTACTGGGTAAAGGTAAAAGGAGAGAGCGGAAATGATTGCAGAGACGCTTTTTATTTCACTGTACACCGAAAAGAGCCTCCTCAGGACTATGAGCAGAAACAACAACGCTCGGGATTTACAACTCCTCCTTGGCAGGCTTAGAGGGTTCTTCCTCGGTTTTGCCGCCGGCTTCGAGGAATTTCTTGAATGCCTCCAGAGTACGATCTCCTGAGTAGTCAATAACCTGCGGGGGGAGGCGAAAAATGTGCTTTTATGTGGGCAAGAAAAGCAGTGGACCACACACCGATCGAAAAACCGTATGAAGTAGCTTTGTTGAAGCTATAGCATATTGTACCTGTGCTTGCAGTTCTTTTTACAGCTGTGAGCACGTCGAATCAAGTTGCCGCAAATGCAGCTTCAGTGTGGACGACAATCTTTAGCAA